TATATTAAAACCACATGTATAGTCACGGTGATGTATAGCCATGTATAGACTGAGACACATCTGCAGTAGTTATCACTCCAGATGGAGAGACTGATATGTTTAGACAATGGTGTTCTGCAAGGGGACCCTTTAGCCCCGTTTTTGTTCTTTGTATGCTTAGTCTATGCTCTAAGGAGCTCGATTTCAGACACTGATGGTTTTACCCCCAGCCATCGCCGCAGTAGTCGCTACCCCGCTGAAGTACCCGCTTATATTGACTTCGCGGACGACATTGCCCTTCTAGAAAACACATAACGTTTTGCTCAGAATTTGTTCAACAAAGTAAAAGTGGCTTGTCAGGTCATTTTGCTTATATTTCAACCCATCCAAAACAAAATATAGGCACCTGTACCCAACATCTTCTCAGCAACTAACTGCATCCGACGGCTCTGAAATCGAGCGAGTGTCAGACTTAAATATCTATGGGGCTATACCAATTCAGAGAGAGATATAAGAGTATAGGATTGCTTGGATTCTCTTAATTCCCAACAAAAGGTATGGAAAGCTCCTATCGAGAAAAAAAAAGTTATAAGTGTTTAAAGCATGTATCAAGACTATTCTACTCTACAGCTCTGAGTCATGGGCTATGGGTGCAGCCCAGAGCAAGAAACTGGATGTTACAAACACAAGAACAGTGCATAATGTTTCATTGAGACAACATCTAACAAATAAAAACAACTCAATGACTCTCTACCGACCACAGTGCGACGACGTATTTGTAGGCTCGCCCTGGCAGGGCATGTTGTTCGTAGTAATGAACCAGCTGGTAGAATAATCCAGTGGCTTTCCACTAGGAGACGTAAAGTGGGACGACCGCATACTACACTTTTGTCAATGTTAGAGAAAGACACGCAGGGACTGCTCTAGTGTCCACCATGAGGGACATGGCGTATTGGAGTAACTTTATCAAGTATACCTCACCGGATAATTCATCCGGAGGCAGGATGATGATGATGATGTATCGTAATGTAGAATTAAAAAGAAACTGCTGTTCAGAGGTTGCTACATTTTCATTATCTTTACGACAATTAAGTTTATCAGATTCATGATTACCAGAAATATAAGACACTTAATGTTTGTTTGCCCCGTACACTACCCCGGCTATCAGCGTCAATTTACGTTAAGCTCAAGCCCCATTTGTAATTGTAGGATATGGCACATCTTTATGCCTTGCACGTAAACCATCTGTCGTAGTCCCTTCCGCTCCTGTGAAGATTTACACCCCTAGCGGACCACGATAGTGTATGGCGGGCTCGGCGTCATGGCATCCCTCGCGTGGAACGTACTTGCCTCAATTTATGACTTCAGTTTGCGACCTCCAACCCGTTTTGCGGCAGAACAGGCCTTGTTTAGGGCGCGAGAGGCAGAAACAAAGCCATTGACTGTGGCGGAACGGCGAAAAACAAACACCTAAAGCTACTTCCGAATCTCCGGATATTCCAGCGGATATGTCATGGCGGTCTGATATCATACAAACAGATTGTTCACAGAAATGAGCCTACAGATAGCGGGAGCCATAAATGGGTAGTGTGTGTGTGGGTGGGGTGTGTGTTTGTGTGTGTGTGTGTGTGTGTGTGTGTGTGTGTGTATGTAAGTGTGTGTATGTTTTTCTGTGTATGTGAGTGTTTTGTGTGTCAGTGTGTGTTTCAGTGTGTGTGCGTGTATGTTTGTGTGTCAGTGTGAGTGTGTGCACGTATTTGCGGTCACTAAGTTCGTGCATACATGGTTAGATGTGCACAGTGTGCCATCATATTAAACATTTGCCTCTCCTCATCAAAGAAATGCTAGGAAAACCCTCTAGTCTGCACAACATTGCACTGCTATGCCATCACCAAAATATTAGGTATTTCCCATTGTGACCTTGGATCACAATCGAAGGGTAGCTTGCAGTCATAATAACCCATCTGCCTTTGAGAAGTAAGATTTCCATCATTCCGAGCTGTTCTTGCCCCGTTTGTGATGAACCGATATGATCTCGTCCCCAGTGTGATGGGCTGTTATCATCTCGTACCCGGTAGGACGGGCGGCTGCGGCATCGATCTCAGTCCCCCCACAGGGTGACATGATCGAAAGTAATTTGCCGATGTAAGAGATATGTCTGCCCTGAAGGGCTCCCCTGATAACACAGCAAGCGACATATCAATCCTGGGTGATCTTCTCGGGAAGGCAGTGTCCAGAATACATTCCAAATACGATGCATTTGAAAAGGTTGCCGTCATCTATGCCACTTCAAGCTATTTGCTTGCCTTGTCTGATCGTGACTGGACTTTCATGATTTTTGAGGGCCGGGGGGAAGAAGAGATTTTGGCCCCATGAGCCAATTGTATCTGACTGCCTGACTGACGGATTTGTTGTGTCATCTTTATGGCTGTCCTACTGTCTTGTTGCTGCTGGAATACCCCTACAACAATAGACAATTGCATGTACGCATCTTTAATGGTAAGATCTGACCAATCCAAAAGCTCCTATTCTGTAACGTCAACTCTTATGGTTTCCCCGGGTGCCTAAGACAGCCATGTTAAAAGAACGGTATCATCTAGGCCTCCTCGCAAATGTCTTTAACAGCTGTTTATCTGAAATGTGCAAATCTTGCTGAATTACTCTTAAAATTGACGATTTTGAACATGACGGTTAGGACACCCGGTGGAATTATGACTTTGTACGTGTGTGAACACTATCCAAATGAGCGCTCCGGATCCTGGCAGCTCACATTGACAGTACAAGCAAGAATGTGTACATTGCTATTTAGATACCGTCCACATTTTAGGAAGTAAAAGCTGTGGAATGTTGGGGGAAAGACGACCCACAGTACAACAAAGAACTGTTGCTGCTGATATGACTTTGCCAGACAAGAGCATTTCCCGTGAGATCGATAGGAGAAACACTATCTACGATAGCACCGGCCGAAAAAACGCTGTCCTATCGATCTGGCGGAGCGATACAAGCGGGAGATAGTCGCGGGAAAAGCTTCATGCTTCATTCAGCATGGTTATCAGCGGCGTCATCATGGGTTGTCTCTCGCACCAAAGCTAAGTGCAAGTGCAACAGTACCAGTTTTCTGGATGGAACGCAGGAAATGAGTTTGCAATCTGATGATAGTTGTCCTTCATCCATCGGCAGTACAATGGGGTCTGTTATCAGGTAATAAGATTTGAACGTGGGCCACAGAACTACCTGGATGAGTAAGTGACATTGTGACATCAAGTTTCGTAAGACATTATTATTCGTTTGTCAAACTGTATTCTTACAGTTGAGTCCTTGCGCTAAATGATAGCAGCGTCTGGATTTGCTAATGACATTCTGGTGTTACCCCCATGACTCTGTGTAAAGGATGGGGAGCCTGCAACGCCTGCCACCATTTTGCGTTTTATACTCACAAAAGGAATAAATATTGTTTTTACAATTGTTCATTTTTTTCTTCTTCCATTCCAAACAAATACGGTCAGTGACATGGACGAGACGGCTGTTACCATAGTAACTAGTGCTGTAGCATATACCCTGTGGTGCTGGGTATCATTATGTAGCAATTGGCAAAATATAGGGGCTGGTCACCAAATATGAAAATGTGAATGAAAACGATAAAAAAATCTTAGACAAATGCAAGTAGAGTACCAGGACACGATACAACAAGAAATGTATCTGTAGAGACCCTTTTTTGTATGTATACGGATTCTGGGCATTAATTTCGCTAATGTCGACCTTGGACATACATTGGGGAAAGTTCCTCGTCCGCTTCTTCACTGGTCAGTGATACCAGATAAATTGGAGAGTCGACTAGGGACCGGGCGGCTCGAGACAGCCCTGGGACCGGCAGGGCGGCAGGAGTCTTATTGATAATGACTTATCCTATATCTACCTAATACACGACGTAAATTTCGCCTGGTGCATCGGTGACAATTTTGCAGTACATACATCAAACTCTACTCGAAATTCTGTTAATAATGACGATTGGTCCTCAAGTCTCATGATGAGTTATGAAGTGAAAAAGTGGGAAAGTTAATTTGATATTAGATTGACTTCCATTTACACCTATATTACAGACATTTGTTTTGCATACGTAAGTAATATATAACAAAATTGTTGATTTGCTGTTTAACTGTGGGTAGTTACAATGGGTAGTTAAACTGCTATGGGACCGGTGAGGTGAGGAGTTACAATGTAGCTTTAATGTTTCAAATTATCCAAAATGCGTACATGTACACAGTCTTTTATGAAAAGCTAGTTGAGTCTTAACATGTCCCTAGCTATTTTCGTTAAGTCGAATCACCATCTTAAATTCAGGCACTCTGCTTATACGATACAATTGTAAGGGAAATTCTGTACATGCGGTCGTTTCAAACTACCCATTTCTATATCAAGGACTTACAAACATACCCTGAAGAATGTTTCATCGTGTTCATCGAAGTTGAATAATTGGCGCACAAATATATTTCCTTTCCTGGAAGCACGATTTCCGGCAATTATCCCGGGCAGCCGTTCCCCCATCCGTCTCATCAGTGTCCGCGCGTGGCCGTACATTCGCCATGCTCGATTTACCCCTGACCTTGGTGATAATTTTATCGATCGGGCACCACAATGTTCAATGCTAAATCTCGTTCTTGGTGCTTGCTACATATTTGGTCGCACTGGATGCTACGATACATTTAATCTTAGAACATATTTTATCAAAAGTTAAACGACCCATACGGCTATTCCAAGAGTGTTGCACTTGGGCAAATATTTCAAGTTTCAAGGAAATCATAGTTGAGATTCTCATCTCAAGCAAATATCGCGTATAACAGTAGCAATGTTGAGAAGGTATATTTGTGTTTGCATTTGTGTTTGCTACTGCGGGTCAGTGATGCGGCTTTTGTCAGCAGTCGTTGTGAACTATTTCATACTTTCCGGGGGTTTGGAATCTCATTTCTTGTTGGTAAAAAGTCTTTGTCTCGCGCCTAACTTTGTGTTTTTTCCCGTTCCAGATCCTAGCCATCATCTCCATCTTGTTCATCGTCCTGTCGACGATCGCGCTTTCCTTGAACACTCTCCCCAGCCTCCAGTACAGAGACGAGTTCAATCATATGACGGACAACCCTACGCTGGCACATGTCGAGGCAGTCTGTATTGCATGGTTCACAATGGAATACCTTCTTCGCTTCATATCCTCCCCAAACAAGTGGAAATTCTTCAAGGGTCCCCTGAATATCATCGATTTGACTGCTATCTTGCCGTATTATGTCACTATCTTTTTGACGGAGTCAAATCGCAGTGTCATGCAGTTTCAAAACGTCCGCAGGGTGGTTCAAATTTTTCGCATCATGCGGATCTTGAGAATATTGAAACTTGCGCGGCATTCTACCGGTCTGCAGTCCCTCGGTTATACGCTGAGACGGAGCTACAAAGAACTCGGACTACTGATTCTTTTTCTTGCCATTGGCATTATGATTTTTTCTAGTTTGGTCTTCTTCGCTGAGAAGGACGAAAATCCACAGTTCAAGAGTATCCCAGAGGCATTTTGGTGGGCCAGTATCACTATGACGACGGTCGGATACGGTGATATTTACCCAACGACGCTACTCGGGAAAATCGTGGGCAGCCTGTGTTGTGTGTGCGGCGTGTTGGTGATCGCATTACCTATTCCAATCATTGTGAACAATTTTTCCGAGTTCTATAAGGAGCAAAAGCGACAAGAGAAGGCCATCAAGCGTAGAGAAGCGCTGGAGAGGGCCAAGCGCAACGGTAGCATCGTCTCCATGAACTTAAGGGACGCCTTCCAGAGAAGTATGGAGCTGCAGGACGTGGTGGTGGACACACAAACAAACAGTCCTGACAGCTCCATGCATGACGCTGTGTCACAGATCCACACCCCCAGCGGGACGGACAAGAGGCAGCAGCTCTTTTGTCCCGACACCGCCGGGAAGGGGTACGACGCCCCCGGAAGTCGCAGCACGCCCATCCAGAGGGCAAACCCACACGACTTGACCTACACGCACCCCCCTCCGTACGGGGTGTGCACCAGTCCGGTTGAAGGGGAGGACAGGGAGCGAGAAAGCGACAACGAAAGTTTTGCCAGTTGTACGACAGAATTTAATGAAACAGATACTCTGTTGGCTGAAGCAAGGGGGAGGGAAGATCCCTTCAGGAACTCTTTAAGTATTGAGAGGGCGCATCCGCCGCTCGTGGTATCGTATAGTGACGGTGGGAGGTCATCTTACTCATTTGAGGAGTTGCAACTTAAAGACGGGTCTAGGAAAAGTCTCTTGAAACAGGGAGTGAGAGGAAAGCGTATTAAAGCTAAGGTACGGATCAGCGAGGACGAGGATGTACTGCGGACGCCGCTGCCCATGGTGCGGACTCACAGCGCGCCACCCGCGCCACAGATCATCCTCAGTCCTTCAAACTTACAAGTGCCCAACAAGGCGTACCCTCCGTCTCCGCTACCTCCTGTACTGACCCCACAACCTAGCCCAATATACCAGTCACAGGCACAGGGGGACCAAACACAAGCAACAGAGTCTCCTGGCGGAAATAGTAGGAACAGCACGGAGGCTGTATCCGACACGGACAGTTCCTCCTCTCCCAAACAGAAAACAAAGACAGCAAAGATGCGCCTGAAAGAAAAACTCGGCAAAATGGGGTTGAGGAGTCGCCATGGCAACGGGCTTCCTAAGAAGAAAGTCCCCGCCGTCGGTCGGCGCTCCTCAACGTCCAGCTGTGAGGAAACAGGCGCCCGGAGCGGGAGCACGACGTCAGGTAGTGTGGGGAACGTCGACGACAACTTGCGAAGTCCCGTACCAGACAGTCCCTTACAATCTACTCCCAGCGAGGCGGAAGATGAGCCGAAGAGAAATCCTAGCAGGGTAAAATTCTTCGCGCAACAACCCGACCCGGATGTAGAACTACAGGGTTTGAGTAAACCTGATGATCATGATGAAACAAGTGAAGTTCAGAACGAAATTGAAGAAGAGTCGGAGTCGAAGGACGTCGCCTCCTCTGACGAACCTTTGCCTAACGGTAACCAAGATTCGGCGTCGTCAAGTAGCGACAAAAATGGTAACGTAGCTAATCACGTGACGCAAACGCCGCCGCCCAAACTCGCGGTGCAGCCCGGGCCTGTCCACGAGGACGGCATGGGAGACATGGAGACTATGTGCTAACACGCGTGCGCGACAGTCACGTGACAAGTAAATGACTTGTTTCTTTTGGAATGCAACAACATTGGCCAGTGCTTGCAAACATAAAGGCGATGTCCGTAGCATAATTCCTCCGATGCAATATCAGGTAACTGACTGGTGCCTTAGTCGTTCGGGCTTGGAATATGTTTACCCAGAGTCTTCTCGAGTAATACTCAAACCACGGGGAAAGGCTTGTTGTATCAGAAATATAGTACAACCGCGATTTCAGATATCACGGATTTTTGGGAACGCCTTGTGCGACCACCGACACGCCGCATACGATGACACAAGCCGCTCACGGAGATATCGAGAACACGTTACTCTAGTTGGCTCTTTGTAAGCATTTCCGAGCCGTCAAAACGCAAGCACTGGCCATGACAAAATATAGCTAACAAGTAATTTTCTTAACTTTGAAAACTATGAACGTACACTACAGAGGCGTCAGAAAAACGTGAAATTGAGACAATTGCTGCAGCAAAGTATGAACTATGTGACACGCTGCAGCCTCATAATGCTGGCGCCTTCAAATGACACGTCAAAGTCGTCATTCGACGGCGTCATCTTCAGTCGTCTTGTTGTTGTACATGTACTCGCGTAATGCTCTTTGTAGAACTCCAAGAGAATGTCAAGACAAGTGAAATTACTTGCCGTCCCTCTCAGCGATTTCTGTTGGAGTCTTCGATCACTTTATGGCACAAGTTTTTCGGCATTACAGGAGTACCGAAATGATGGTGCTCAATTGTCATAGGGACGGACTGAAGCGAGTAAAAAGTAAGTCTCGCTCGTTTTTTTTTCGTTATTGAGCTGATTTGTTTGTCGTGCTGAAGCCATCTAACAAACAAAGCCTATCATTGGAACATGCTGGTTCAATGAAGAACCATGTGAACTTCGAAGCGGGTTTGCCCAAGACTTGCAAACAGTCGACCTGTCGCCCGTTCAGCGGTGAAACACCAGCCAGGATCCTGGAAATAACAAGCTTAGGGCGTCTGGACACAAGCTTAGTATGTCAGTCACATGTTTGAATGTTAGCAGCAACTATTTGACTATGAACCCATGGAAAAGTGCAACATTGTTAGTTGAACTGAGAACTTAGCTAAAGAAACTAACATCATAATCGTGTGCCCGGAAACGGCGTCAGTCAAACGCGGAAGACGCACAGGATAGACCGGAGCATCGGTAGAAAAATGACTGTGCAGTTTTGTACGGAGGACGTATCAGCATATCATACCTTAGGACTTGGAGACCAGCGTTCACTGGTATCAAAAGGACACTTTGATCCAAGACTGTATTCTATAGCACTGTTATACAGAGGATTGTAGAAATTAGAGTCTTTGTAAATGACTATATATCGAATTTTTCATCAGAATGTATGGCTTGACTTGTTTTAGATATACATTGTTCAGATAGAAAGAAAAATTCTTTCCACTCTGGGTACAGAGATATACAAATGTATTAGGAGACGAAAAGTTGGCTGGGATACACCCACTATGCTTGCATATATTTGCTCTGGAAATTCTCTATCGATTGTATCAATAGCTTCATTCCCTTGTGTTGAAGAGCTGTCTCACTTCAGGCCTTGCGCCGAGATATCAACAGCAGGGGCTGTACGAGCAACCTCCATGGAACTCCTCTGTAGCTCCAGGGATTTCCTCGTACAGCCGCTTCTCGATATCAAGCTGGAAAGGCTGCGGAAGAAGAAGGAACACCTTTGTATCCGAGACGTCTATATACTCACAGCATCCCTGTTGTACATTGTGCTTTTAGTCGTTTTACGCCATCGGTTAACAACATTGGTTCTGATTTCAATGTTTCCTTTTTAACCACTAATGTTTTCAATCAACCATTTCAGAACCACGAGCACGGCCCATGTTGATTTGAAAGCTACTTACTATTGCTCTCAACATCTTGAAAAAATACGGGGTTGTCTTTTTTTTTAAACTTCTCAATATACAGCAAACCTCAGGCTACTAATGCAAAATTAAATGCAAAGGCCGAAATTTGTGTTTTGCAGTACGGAACACAACAGGAAACAATGGGTAAATGTATCGCAAACCTCAGCCTTTCCTAACAAACACCTCGGATGACAGCAAGTCAGTAGAAAGCCTGGCCGTCAGTTGAAGAGGTCAAAAAGCTGAGACATCAATTCTTTTTGCTTCCAGTTTGGCTAGTGTTGCATTTTAAAGATCTGTCCAGCAAAAATCATTAATCATCTAAAAGAGTGGTCCCATAATTATATAGGCTACCCTGTGTTTGGATTTTGACGCATACCATGAGCTTATTCTATTTATTCAACATGTTCAACATGGATATATCTTTTCACCGTTCTTGCCTCATTTTCCTTGGTTCAATACCGTAACGCGACGTACGTGTATACACCCTTGAAGAAATACCTGTTGAATGTAATGCCAAATTTCTCAAGCTTCTAGTGGCCGGCAAAAGGGGGCAGTTTATAATTAATTTGCGATACTGTTAATACATATGTCGCATATTTTGTTTTAAATGTAGACAACGATTTTGAAGGCTGGCTATAGATCTATCCGACAGAACCTCTATGCACATTGCTCATCTCTCTCTCCGTTAACCTGTTCGGAAATCCTCTGCAAACTTCGACTTTTTTTGCACATACATGTAGATTGTCCACAACAACGAATGGCAAACTGGTCTGCAATATCTTGTCTCTTTTGTTACAGTCCTTTGAAAATAAATAGTTTGACCAGTATATCCGACTGATGATACATAACATACTTGGAAAAAGATAAACCTCTTAAAAACCTGACAATCCTTAAGCATTCCTAAGTCACATCAAACCAGTCCTATATTTACTGACGATGGCTGATCTTTCGCTGGATTGATCCCGGATGAATGATATCATTTCATATAACGTTCAAGAGTTTGCTTGCAGTTCACAAAGAACGTGTCCTCTCCACCTGAAACTACCGTAATACTTTTCCCAATACAGTGTCACTTATTTCCAAGATTTGAACTACGATCGCGAAAAATTGCTTAAGCTTACAGGCCCATCTATACATATCAAGCCGCCATCGCTGTAATGCCACGTAGCGAGATTAGTCAAACTGCAGCTGTTGCTTAGTGTGAGGACTGAGGGAGCGTCTGTGTAACCAGGGAGGTTAAATGATGTAACCAATACTGTATTTTCCTCTGTATCCCTCGCACATATTCATTTAGAAACATTCTATAAGAAATGTAACCAAGCGTACTCAGCGTGGTAAAGGGATTTTATCTTGATTTAATGAAACAATTGAAGTGCCTATCGCACATATATTTGCTTCTCTGAGCATTTTGTTACCTGTCGCATTTACGTTTTTGTACAATTTGTCTTACGGTAAGCCGTTCTACAGTCCAGATCGACAGAAATGACGGAACTGAGTGCTGACAAGCTGTTGAGTCTGCTTACATGTAACGTTTATGTGTAAAATATCAGTTCAGCCTGGTTTCATTTTTACATTTCACCACATGTACACGTAGTTTGTGATAAAAATCACGAACTGTAAGTTAGAGGTTATGCTTGTTACCATAGCAAAATATCATAAGCCAAAATTGCAATCATGGCAGCCCTTTTCAGTCATCCTGTATTTTTCCTACCTTCACTTAATAATAGCGATGTTGAATGCACATAGTTTTCATTTGTCACATGACTTCTAGCCAAATATGCATCGCTGGGAACTCAAACAGTTCTAGAAACACGTGTTAAACTTCCATGCGTCTGTTGCTTTGCCTACATGATACAAGGGTGGATACGAGTTTGTATATGTACATATATGTATCGAGTAAAATGAAACAAACTTGAAGATAGAAATAAAGTTGACGAAACTTTTTTTTTTGCTGCGGTAGCGTGTTTATTTCTTTCCGTGTTTTCCTTGTGTGTTCCTGTAGTATCAAGGCCAGAATGCACTTGGACCTAAGTCCAAAAAATTGCCCTTTCCGGTTGGTTTCTGGACCGACCCTACCAAAGACCCTGACCCTAGCCTAGCCTATTTGGGGTTGACCACTGGCAACACCATAAAGTTTACACAAATTTCTACATTAAATATGCAAATTAAGTCCTCATTTGAAAAAATTGCACTTACTGTGTAGAACTTTGTCTAAACTACCTACAAGCTCAAAATTATGAAAATCCATTGTTCCTATCTTGACTTGTCCTCTGAAAGATTGACAAAAATGCTGCCTGGGGACAAAGCCTACACAACTTTTTCATGACATGGAAAGCTATGTATGTATCCTCATCTGATTCTTGCACGAATTTTCAGTATAATGGCCGATTTTCAACTATTTTCCAGCAACATGGCGAGCCTGGTAATGGCTAGTTTTTCCAATAGTACCTATTTCTCCAAGATCAATAAGAATCACGTGTTGGAAATCCATATAAGGCAGGCATCAAGTCCATGTCAAAACCTATTCTAAAAAAAACTGCAGCATTCAACAGCTTGAAGACATTGCACAAATTCTTATGTTTCAAAGAATTATCTTTGCTACTTACATGTACTACATGTAGTTGTAAACACACCATTTCCATTAACTTTTTGCCATTTTGCTGGTTACCTTTCATAAATTATCATGGTGATTATATTATAATGTTAACCAAGTGTGTTTACATCAAATTCAGGGCTCGAGATACTTCTCAGCATACCTGCATTGATTGTAGGTAACATTGAAAATTATCTGCACCACACAAATTTTACCTGATTATCATCAAAGACTGGCAACTGGCTACCAAGTTACTGTTAATATCTGATAAAACTCAATTTTTTTAAAAATTTCAGACAAATTGCATACGACCTGATATACATTGAGGTAATATTGTAGTTATAAATTAGTACTGACTATTTGAAGAATTCATGTGAAAGTCACAGTGATTTATAACAGTGAATCACTGAACAAACTACCACATTCCATTCCCTTGATGCTAGTTGGCACTTTTTGGCGGTTGTTGTCTTTATGCACGTTTTTCCCGCTTGGCAGATGTTTTCTGTGCCTGTAGATACACTACACTCAGGCCAATACTGCAGTTCAGCACACCACTCACAGACTGCGTCAGAAGAACTGTGGAAGTGCACAATCATCATACAATCATTTCTGCCAGTCAGATGAGGAAATAAAGGGAGGAAGACATACGCCAAAAAGCAGTTACTCAAGCAACTGGATATGATTTTGGAAGACATGTACCACAGAAAGTAAAACTGTGCAAGAGGATATCATATCATGTAACAGACTGTTAAAATACAAACATGAGACTTGACTGAGTGATAACATTCTAGACAATGTCAAATATTTCCAATTATGGCATAACCAATAAGACCAAATGTCTGTAACTAGTGTAAGGCTCAAACAATATGGTAGCACCATTCAAAAATACTCATTATACTGTTAAAGAGTTGAAGACTAGATTCGTGACACTTCTCATTCCATTTTCTGTACATTTTCACAACAAAGATAGTCCAATTAAGATACACCTACATTTTCACATTTGTGTCTCATAGTCATATATGATGTTACTCTTCTGCTCCTGTAATTGAGCATTACACCGTCCAAAAATCCCAGCTGACTGATAACAAGGCATGGCCGGACGGAGAGCAAATAACAATGTTAGCTGTACTACTTGGCACAGTTTCACTCGGCAGCAATTGGATGTTAACATTTTTTTACATGGTGACTGTCATGAAAACAGATCCTTGGGGGCTGTGCAGTTAGACTATGGGCCCAGTCAAAAACCAGTTTTGCCCCCAAAGGTTTGCTTGGAGATTACATGTCACATACATTGTAGTACACCATCTTATGAAGTACAATCACCGTCTAGCTTTGCAAGTACATTTTCTCTGCTGAAAGATTCATGGGGACCTGATATCTTACCTACAACACACAATAAAATTCTTCTTCCTTTCAGCCCTTGCATGACTCATTAGGATGAATATCATATACACAAACTTTTCAAGTCTAATGTTAACAAACATCTGTCCTCACTGGCTGTACAGTAACCCAAAACATTTCAGTGGCTCCCATGAGCCTTGTTTTGTGGTGAAGTATTAAGTAAATTAAAAAAAATAATATCATCATCTGGACTATTGACTACTGACATGACATTCTATTTGGTAATAGATACTATCATGGCAATAACTGTATATAACAGTTCCCAATGATGAAAATTGTACAGGGATTTTTAAAAAGCATATTTGTTTTATTACATTGTGGCATGTACAGTCTTTTTGAAACCTTGACAGGTTTGACTGCAATTTTGAGTTTACAAGAACTTCTTTCTCTGTTGATTTTTAGGAAGATGACAGAGAAGAGGATGGCAGCATTCAACAGTGTAGCCACTGAGTAATCCACCAGGACTGCAAAAATACAGGGAAAATAATTCTGGTCACAATTTTGTGAAAATTTCCTTTTAATGTGAATGCAGAAAAAAATTTAGTGCAATGTAATGCAGGGGACATTTACAGATTAATGTAACGTTAGCTTGTCAACAAAAAAAAGGGAACAGAAATAGACATGAAATTGAGCTGAAAGTACACCTAAAAAAGATATGAATATTATGAAGAAAAAAATTCAGTGCAAAAAAAATGTAGGGGACATTTACAGATTAAAACTGTAGCTTACCAACAAAAAGGACAAAAATAAAAGTGCAGTTGTGCAGAAAGATCTGATACCACAAAATGTGACTAAGTGGATAACAGAATGTGAAAGTTAAGCTTATACTTATGATGAAATATCTTAATACCCTCTGTCTCTGGTGGTTGTTAACACTGAACAAGTGCCTGGGTTAGTCATGCCTCCTATCACATATCAACAGTACTGCAGAATTAACACACTGACAGGTGACTGCCCACTAGATGCAAGAAAGCACACACAAAATATTTGAATTGAACAGAAGTCAACAACAACATCTACTGTATTATGAATCAGAATGTCATTCTACACAAAATTGATGGACTTTGCAACTCTGATCTTTTTCCAATTTGTGGAAAGTAAACAAACTTACCAGGGATGTCTCCTGTTTCCACAATAGTTGTGAAGATCCGAGCTAAAACAATTGGCAAAAAGACAAAAGTACAAGTTGTACAATCATGTAAGTTCATACAACAAGTACTAAATCATATTGTAAACAATTGTATATCACATTATCAGCAAGTGCGTAGATAGGTATAGACAGTCCAAAGACCTACGTACTATACAGTGTGTAGCTGTGGCGACTCTTGATTCGGGCTTACATTGCATTACCCTCTGCAAGAGTCGTGGAAAGATCCATTGGCAGAACTGCACATTTCCCGTTGGCTGCTCGATGCTCCGTTTTTGACCCGTTTTTTTGCTGTCCCGAGCTTCCCTACAATATAACTCCACAATTGGCCGGGTTGCCGATGTTCAGATCGGCCCAAATATTCCACAGCGCGACCAAAAACTACCTAACCTCACTTATTTACAAACCGCACAGCCATCTTGAATATAGTCGGGAATGTCCGGTGCAGTCGTCGGGAACGCTCGGAAGCGTCACGATTACCGAAGCGCGACCGAAAACTCTCCGATCATAACCGGAAAGCCTGCCGAGCGTTCCCGACGACTGCACCGGACATTCCTGACTATATTCAAGATGGCCGCGCGGTTCGAAAATAAGTGAGGTTAGGTAGTTTTTGGTCGCGCTGTGGAATATTTGGGCCGATCTGAACATCGGCAACCCGGCCAATTGTGGAGTTATATTGTAGGGAAGCTCGGGACAGCAAAAAAACTGGGTCAAAAACGGAGCATCGGGCAGCCAACGGGAAATGTGCAGTTCTGCCAATGGATCTTTCCACGACTCTTGCAGAGGGTAATGCAATGTAAGCCCGAATCAAGAGTCGCCACGGCTATACAGTGTGCTACTATATACATCCTAGTACGACTCACATTGAACAAGTTTAACTGAATGATAAAATGGGTACACTGCAACATGGCAAACAGTAAAACACAATTTTTTGGGTAACTACTTATAGACTGGATTGAATTTGGAGCTAAATCCCTTCTGGCTATTGCGTAATTATCTGAAAACTGGCCCCACAGAGTGGAATGATTTTTGATAGACAGATACGGAGTGCAAAGACAATAGGACACTGTATAGTACTATTGTATAGTGTCCTTCCACAGTTTAATGGACAGTGAGCAAATAGGGCAAGGACACATACATTTACATACCAAAAAGGCAAAATGACAGTGTTTTATGATACACATTCCCCAAAATTCTCCCTTTCACGTGCTTTTACAATGTATGTGGTGTCACATTATTTCACATTTCTTGAACTAGCTCTGCCAAATTCACAGTTAAGTCAAATTTATACCCCTGGTAGTGATAACTTATTAAAGTAAGTAGGAGTGAAAAATCTCACCAGAGATGGCATAAAGACAGTGGGCCTGAGGCCAGGACAGTTGGTGACAGTCAGGAGAGATGAGAAATACAAATACGACAGTGAGTGAACAGAAAAAAAACTTTGTGGAAACCCTACAACCCTGACTTGGGTTAACTAAGGGACCAGGGTATAAGGTAGAAGGTACATGTATATTGCACACATGTACAATGTATACAGTATAGCACAGAGACAAAAGAATACTAGTAGCAAGAGAAGTACAATTTTGTACATACATTTCCAATCTACAGACAAGACTTTTCTACAAGGACATGTATGTATCATGAAGGAGACTTCATCTGTGCAACCATAATGATTTCATCATCATCATCATCTATCATTCTCCGATGAGGTGGAGCAGACAAAGTTTGATCTCCAGAACTGTTTGTCGTTCATTGTTGAAATAAGTTCCAGGCCCTCCAAGCCTGTTTCAGTTTCTATAAGTTTCTCAAGTGTTATGCTTTGCCCTAGGGAAAATAAGAAATTAGTTGGTTTGACATTGTTCAACTGCCATGGTTGATGATGACAGGTTTATTATGAATTTAATCAAGTTGCAACAATACATGGTGGGACACTACTAGGCAGCAAATGCTGCTGATGCTGAAATGTTCCACACAAATAAAACACACAATACAACAATAGAGTATGCTGACTTGTAGACTGACCTACACAACTGTAGAAGGCTATGAACCATGTGGTTGGGCTGACACTGCTGGCATCGCGGCTGGTCCACAAAGCTCGCAGCTGGATCAGCTTACTGGCCATGGACATTGGAAGCACGAAATTCTGCAGGCACAAGTTGGCAATGTCAACACTATTACCAGTACCAATTGTCAGCCAACATTAGGTACAATTAAAATAATTGTCCTTAATCAAGTTAATGTAACATGTTGTTCTCCCTTGCTATGCAGAAAAGCACATTAATTGATAAAGAAAATTATTTTCCGTGCAATCAGCTGAAATCTGCCCCAAATGTTGCCTTTTACATACAAAGCAACAAAGAGGTTTCCTACACATGTATTATGTCCAAAGACCACACAAGGTAAGGCTATCTCAAAACCAATTCCCAAGGGAATGCATTCATGCAATTGTTGGAATATTTTCAAATTGATCATAGTATTGTAGAAAATGCATCCCCCCTGAGGCATCGCCAAAAACAAAACAGAAAATCTTGCAGTAGAAAGCAAGGTGTACTTACAATCATGATCTTGGCAACTGCTAGGGAGGTAGAGAGCACCGATACAATGATAAAATATCTGCACACATAATTGTTAAGGAAAACACTCCATTACGACAGTTCATATTTGTGTGCAGTAAAGATATAGGATATGGTTAGTCTATCTGTTTGTTGTCAAATGCAACAATACAAATTACACTGACTTTCATGTGCTCTAATTTAAATGCATAGACACAGATATACACAAACAGACAAACAGACACACTGCCCAGAAAACATAACATCAACTAACTACTGGTAGTAACCAGGACAGCAGTGACAGGCTAAATATACGAGCCTGGGACAGCATGTAGCACTAAATCATATTGTTAACATTTGGTATCGACTGGAAGCAGACCATGCAAAGGTTTGCCATGCAGTACATACATGAACTTTATCCATCTTGAAGTTAGTCATAAGTTGAATATGAGAAGGATACCCTGTAATGTACAGTAAGGCCTCCAGTCCAAGTCTGTCTTGGAAGTACAGGATGATCAAGACAAGAGCAAGATCTGAGGAAGGTGGAAATGGAACTTTAACATATACCAAGGACATTCCTTGCATATACTAGTAGTACAGCAGTTTAGCATCAGTTGCTTATAATTACGCCTGCATGCCAGCAGATGATTGATTGTACACATACAATAAACTGAGCATTTCCAATGCAGGAATATAGTAAACACTCTGATCTAATGTTAGATGTTACAAAATGTTTGTTGCTATTTTGCATGTATACTTGTGTGCAACAATGAAACGAAACAAGATAGCTGCACTAAATAAACAAGATTACCTTGAATATTCAGGAAGAGGTACTCGGCATAGGTACTGAGGGGGTACTCATTCACAAAATGGTAGCACATCATGACTGCATAGCTGTAAGATAAATGTACATCGTCGTAAAAAAATCTGAAGTAAGGCCAAAGGTTGCATAATAATTTGTGCAGGGACAGTTAATTCATATAAACGAATTGAAAGTTAAGTTATAGTTGTTACAATCGAGTTGAAAGCCAGTAACTACGCTATTAAAGCTCTAAATTAGGTGCGTTTTTCTTTCCATTATCATTATCATCAAGCCATCAATTGCTACCATGGATCGTTATCGATCGATCTGCAGACGACACGTCCACAAAAAAATAGGCAAGAAGAAATGGTCTGAATAAACAGCTCTTTTTGACGTACCAAAACCACTCTAGCAGCGTACTCTGCAAGCTGACGCCCTTTGCACTCTTGGAAGACCATATGGCTGCGATTTGAGGTAGTTTGAGGACAACGCAGAGAACAATACAGCTGAGAGAGGCAAAGGAGACCAAAACTTCTATAGCAACAGACGCCATGTTGGAAGGAATGAATGAACGTGGAGCAAACCATCTTTAATTATATAGGGACCTTTTCATCCATAATATTTTTACTGCTCATTTCGTAAATGTCAAATTGCATTGAATCAGTTTCTGCTCTTATTTTGTTTTCTTATACATATGACGAATTTGTCGAACTTTTTCTGCCATTGCACCTGTAAGTAAATCATAATTTATATCTCGTAAGATATCCCGTAACTTGAGTGTAGTAAGCCATCGTTAGGTGCAGCGTAGAATCTATGCATCGACTGTTTGCGGTGATATTTGTAGAGTCCCGCTGAGACTTCTTTTCTTTAGGTTATTATTATCGTGACTAGGTTGGATCAAATGTCTCCCCTCCATCACATTTACATGAACATATGCACATAAATCAATGAAATGTAACGTTACCCCCCTGCGTGAGTGTTGTAGTCCAAGTACCCGTGAAGAACCCTGGGAAGACGTCACCGCGCACAAACTTGTTGTCCTTCCACTGACGGAGGGGCAGGCTCTACACACCAACAGTGAGTATTTCTGTGTGTTTTCCACATTCTTACCCCCAGATCGATCAAATTCTAACTCGTCTGTAGCCCTATTCCCGACAGGATCCTTGATATCGCTATGATATACTGAAATGGATTTTATCAAGCTGATTTTTGGGCAATATTACACTCGGTTTCTGCAACAAGTTGCTTTTCGATCATGGCGGAAGTGTTTTAAGGACTGCGGTGTGGAGACACCTTCGCCTTCAGTTCCAACTCTCCTTCTAGACGTATCGAGGAATGGCTGAACAATATGGGATTACGTCGATTTAATATCTTAAACGGGATCTGATTTTTAGCATGCTAGCGCGTATGTTGTAATACCTTCAAGTTCAACCGATCGGTTTAGGATTTTTTCCTTGCAAATATTGGCGTTATTTGTGCACCATAAATTTCAGTGTGTATGCGTTCATATTTGTTTGAGGGGGCGGGGCCCCGCTGGCAGGCCATCAAATTCACACCCACGGCAAACTGGCTTGACTTCTCGTGATAAGTGGATTTTTGCTGGTTCAAAGGGTCAGGACTCGGAGTAACGTCAGCAGTGTGTTGGTGACGTTTGTTGTGGGCGTCATCACTGTGTGTAATTTCTCTCAGGGCCAGCTGTTTGGAAAGCCAACCTTTGTCGGAAACTAAAACCTGGCAGATACAGACATACTTCTGGTTGTATGCTGTCGAGGGAAGACACGTGTATATATTTATGTTACAAACTGAAGCCAGGTTAATTTACCAGGTCAGCTTCCCTTGTTGTATATTTTGTTATGTACGTCCAGTTTCATTTACTGATTGGTTTTGTCTCAATCTGTCAGACAATTTTGCTTATCCTTTGAAATATTCAACAACCAGGCAGAAAAATTATTTGCACATGGACGATAAAAGGGCCTCACATACATGAACATACACTCAACTTTTTATTTTACGGTGAAGGTAATATTATTCAGTATAAGAAAATGTGTGCTTAGAAAATGAAAGTTGTTATGTCTCACCTGTTTAAGCTGCAAAAGATTACATTATCCATTATTAGATAGACAGAAAAATACAGAAGATGTGTGCAATAATAGCGGTAAACTTCTGTGAAAGATGTTCTTTTTTAATTATGGTTGTTGGCAACTGAGGTATCAGATTTTGGGATTTGTATACATTGTATATGCATGCATGCATGTGTGTGCGTGTAGATACATACAAGTCATATATATCTTAGTCAACTGAACTAGTCAATAGAATTCTGATCTTTTCACTTGCACATCCCTGTCAAGTTGCCTGTGAATTCCATAACGGTACATATAAAATCACACCTTCAGCAAATGATTTTGTACTCCATAATTCAACAATAAGATTGACTTAATTCCATTTCATGATATCTGTAAAGTATACAGTGTAGCATAGCCCTCAAGGTATGTCAGCTCACTACTCACTACTCTACACATAAATAAAGGCTTAATATATGTTGACACCTTCAACAAATAAGAAACCAGATAGGCTGCTTCGAAAGACTCCTGCCTACAGTGAAAATGCTAGGGACAACAACCGAATCCGTTTTGACTTCCTGAGTGGGTATTAATATCAGCTTAAGTTTGCTAAATATCTATTTTCATACCTAGAGATTAGATCTTTTCAGTGTCATTGATAGATGTAGCTGTGCATGCAATGTCAATACTGACCGAAGGAGACCATGTAATGATGCATGCTACAAATGTGAATATGAGGCCAAATTGTGTTATAATTATAATTCTGTAAATATTTAGATATATGATGAAATATTAAGAGAATAGTTTTTCCTGCAATTCTTATTTTTGACCACACGTAGCTTGTCAAATAAAACATTTAAAGGTCACAAATCATTCTTTGCAAGAGAGTTCATAGGTAGTAACGTATATGACACCACAATTTTGTTGGATAGTGATACTATACCAAGTATGGTATTTTAACATCTCATCACAACTGCTGCTTGCTGTAATGTTCGTATACACATAACGTTACATGTAGGCTGCACAATGTCAATGGAAACGTGACATTGTCCCATTTCCTATTGTACAACTAAGCAACAACTGTTAGCATTCAAGCGGGCCCACATGGCAGATTAACTTACATTACAATGTACATTGTAGATGTTTACCATATCTCAAGTCTTTTTTATAAATTGCAGATAGATAAATTTTATAGAATATGGTACATAATACTTCTTGTCCCAGAATTCATCCCCATTCACAAATGTGTCAATTAAATTCTCCAACTCCTTCTATGTGAGTAAATTCCCACCTGGGACCACAAACTTTTGCAACTTTCTGCAGAATCCTTGCTCAGTCAGGGAACTCAAGGTCTAAGCACTTACTTGAGCGCAAAAAAATTGATGAATAAAACAGGAATTTAGTGCCAAAAACACTTTAAAAACAACAAAATGAGCTGCTAATGTTGCCACTATTACTCTCAGCTCTCTATTAAACGTACCGGTACGTTTATTTTTTTTCGCCTCGAAATCCGCCCGGTACGTTCTTATTTTAGACGGTACGTTTATTATTTTTTTCAGAATCAAACCAAGTTCTGGACAAATTTTCGGTCCTGAACATAAAAGTTTGAACATAGATTTTCAAAATTGGGGATTTTATTCCAAAATTTCCCCGATAATTTAAAAAATTGGGGATTTTATCCCCGATAAATGTGCTCGTCATTCCAATTTTCTTCGGCCAGGCGGCGTGGATCGAGTGCTAATCGGGCCACTATTCATTCCATTGCCGGCACAATCTTGTGAATTGACGATGAATTGTCGATCTCGCCATGACGCCGCAGAGAAAACTTTGTTATTGGTAGAAAATCTGACACCCTGCTGGCGTTTCACAACAAAATTTTAATGTAAACAACTCCGAATGTCTTTGTTTACATCGTGAAAGCTCACCGATACTCCCGCCGGCCGGCCGCGCCCGACCACATGGTTGAGGCATGACGCTAGTTTTCGGCAGCTCGGCGGAAAAATAATCCATCCCCAGAAGAAATGTTACGCATGAAAATAAAAACTACAACTTGCTTTCCTCGTTATATGAGTTTTTGAGGCCGTAAAATGTTTAAAACGGTTGAAATTCGCTCGAAAAACGGCTCGAAAACCACGGCGAGACTGCCAAAAATTATGGCCGACGGTGTTTCACAATAACAGTGGTCAAAGGTCAAGACTGCATCCAAATGTACAAGATACATGTACAAAGTACATATTAAATATCACTTTAAACGCATGAAAAAATTTTTTCGGCTACAACTGAAATAAAAATTCACTAATATTTTTATAAGGTTAATTTTCAAACATTACTGAGAAATTTTCCGAATTTATTTTTTTTTTGTGTTAAAATGTAATATTGTTGTTTCTATGAATGTGCGGTTGGATGCTGTGATTGTGAAGTCCCTTACATTGGGAGAATCAGATGAGATATTAGAGAATATCACGCTTTGTACCGCGACCCGAATGTCTCTCAAAAATTGTTTTTGAGTGAAGTTTATAGACATGATTTATTTGTTTAGCTTTGTCAATATGTGATTTGTTTGGGAAATAGGATTTGGCTTAGTTTTTAATATATATTAATAATTAAAAACTAAACCAAATCATATTTGGGAAATAGGATTTGGTTTAGTTTTTGATATATTAATGTCAGTAAAACTTGCTCCAAGTTCCAGGTAGTAAATACATGTACATTTTGTATCATGTATTTTTCACTTGTTGAACTTGTGGAAGCACCGTTGGCCCCCGGTTAGGGGTCATCCGGGTAACCTATGCCCAATTTTTTCAAAATTAAGGATGCTAATAGAATTTTTTTTTAACATAAAGAGGGTAATTAAGTACAGATCTTGAACCTTTCTCCTGCCTTATACATCTGCAGTTGTACAGAAAATGTAGAACTGAAGTTGCAGGAAATGACCTCCATTTGTGTTTGGAAACGACAAAATGCAATAGCTTCGTACCCTCCTCCACCCTGCTATGAATTTCTGGGGAGATCCCCAAATTGGGATACATACACCGTGGGAATACATTTTAGTAGCATAAACAATTTGGCTTACATGTCAATTTTAAAATTTTCCGGGGGGTACTTTTATTCCAGGGGGTACTTTTATTACATTTTGAAGATTTGTCCGGGGGGTACTTTTATTCCAGGGGGTACTTTTATTCGAGAGGTGAGAGTAGATATAGCTGCAAGGGATTATGGGTTGATGTAATTCAGGTGATTGCAAGGTGCTATTTGACCCCTGACCTCCCTAAACTTAGTGGGTTTTTAGTTCTCGGACCAAAGTTTTCTTCTGTGTTCGTAACTATTTGACATCCTCACCCCGACGGGCTGTCATTTCTGTAACAAGCCCGGGTCAGAATTTTTCATTCTTCAATCTGGTTACCAGGGGTGCCATGCCGCTTATCAATATACTTAATTGATATTTTCTGCACCCTGCAATTTATCTAGGGGTAAATAACTTAATAAGGCCCATCAAAAAACATTTTTAAGTAAGGGGTCCTTTTTTTCGTCAGATTTCACACATGGCTGCATGGAAGAAATGAATTTTCCAGGGTAATGGCTTACTAGAGCCAGATTCTGTTTCTTCCTTTTAAGCGCCTTTACAACCAGGAGTGTGTTGCCACATCATAACTTGTTATCAAACAGCATTGATATGCAAATTCCTTTGTTATATTCCTTTGTTATTTCCTTGATTTGTTTTTGTATTATAATGCCTTTATTACTATGAGTTGTGGCTCTTGGTTTGACAAGTTTGTTTTATTACCACCTTACTTAGTTGCGGCATTATATAGTACTTTTACTTTTGTTTGTACTAAGTTGACTTTAATTTGTACTTATAAGTTGACTTATCATTTTGATATATCTGTTATTTTCTTGTACATTTTATTTATATATGCCTGCAGGGCACATTGAAAAACGCCTTAGTGGCGATATGTACACCCTGGGTAAACAAATAAAAACAAACAAACAAGCTACTCAAAGAAGCTCAGTACCTAA